TTTTTTTTTTAAAGAAACTGTCATAATCTTTGGCTCCATGTAATAGAACTCTGGCAGCTATTTGAACTGAGTGAAAAACTTAGGTAGTTTTATTATTACTCATTAGAATGAGGCAGTAACTATGGAAAGCAATAGGAGTAAGCTTCCGTGCTTCTACAAATGCTATTTTTCTTTGAAATCTGTTCTATTGCAAAAGCACTGTTGATGGATTACTAAGGTATACCTTAAGTTTATTTTGTTTTATGTACTAAGTTTTTGGAAGAAGAATTCCATTTAACTTGATCAGTGGTTTGTTCTTAAAGTGTGATCACTAGTCCAGCAGCCTCAGTATTACCTGCTAGTAAACAAGTGTTTGGCTACTTGTTAGAAATGCTAATTCTTGGGCTCTCCCCCCACCCCTCCCAAACTCTGGAGTAGGGCTGGAAATTTCTTTTCACATGCTAAAGTTTGAGAATCACGGAAGTGTATAATCATTCCTATCATTGAAATCTTTCAGACCCTGGGAAAGGCTGGTTTGTACTTCCTTTATTTCTTCTACTCAGTATTTGATTCTGGCTATGTCCCAGGCACTGTTTAGGTACCTGGGCAACACTAGTGGGTATGAGCGACAAAGTCCTTCTCCTGCAGTTTACATTCATAGGAGGGAGACTGACAATGACCAAGATTGTGATAGATAACGCTGTGGAAAATTAGATGGTAGAGAGTGTACTGGGGAAGTCCTTTCTGAGGAGGTGAAATAGAAGCTGAGTTTTTGAATGACAAAAAGGGCCACGTATATGAAGATCCGTGCAAAGGGCTGTTAGAAATGAGTTTGGTGTGTTTGAGGAGCTGAAGGAAGGACAGTGTGCCTGGAGTGCAGTGAGCAAGGGGAAAAAGGTGTGAAATGAAGTTGGAGAGAGAGGGAGAAGCCAGATCATGTAGACCCTGTAAGGACTTTTTTCTCCCATCTTCAGTTTTTTTTTTTTTTTTTATTGTGAAATACATGTGAAATTTACCATCTTAACCATTTTGGTAGTGTACAGTTCAGTGGTATTAAAGACATGCATACTGTCGTGCAACCATCCCCATTATCCATCTCTAGAACTAAGACTTTGAGTGACGGGGGACACTTTAGGGAGGTTTTAGGCAGAGGACTGACCTAAACTGACCTTTGCAATAAAAGGATTACTGACCACTAAGTTGAAATCTGATCAAAGGAGGGCAAGAGAGGAAGCAGCAAGATCAGTCAGGAGAGTATTGCAGTCATCGAGGTGAGGTATGGTGATCTGGCAAGGATAAAGGGTAGTAGGGTTGGGGATGCTGAGAAGCATTCAGATTCTGGTTATATATATATATATATTTTTAAAGATTTTATTTATTTATTTGACAGAGAGAGAGGGAACACAAGCAGGGGCAGAGGGAGAGGGAGAAACAGGCTTCCCGTGGAGCAGGGTGCCCAATGTGGGGCTCGATCCCGGGACCCTAGGATCATGACCTGAGCCAAAGGCAGACGCTTAACGACTGAGCCACCCAGGCACCCCCAGATTCTGGTTATATTTTGATGATCAAATTAACAGAATTTGCTGGTTGTGACATGTGAATGATTGTGGCTAATATATAAAAGAGGGGTCAAAGGTGGTATCAGGTCTTTTTTTGTCTGAATAATTGGTGGAATTCAAGCGATTCAGGTTTGAGGAAGAAAAGCACCATTTGTTAAATTAGAAATGCTTCTTGAATATCCAAGCAGGGATGTTGAGTAGGCAGTTGGATAAGGGAGTCTGGAGTCAGGGAAGAAGTCAGGTTGGAGACATGATTTTGGGGCTTGTCAGCATTTGCATGGTAATTAAAGCTATGAGGCTGAATGAGATCATCTAAGTAATGAGTGGAGAGAGGGAGAGGTCCAGGACTAAATTCAAGGGTAGGAGAGCTTACATGAGAAGGAGCAGCCAGTAAGGTAGGGAGAGAACCACCAGAGAGTGATATCCTGGAAGGCAAGAGAAGAAAGTGTTTCAAGGAGAGAAAAATCTATCGACTGTGTCAAATGTTGCCAAGATGTTGAATAAGACAAGCCCTGAGAATTGGCCATTTTAGCACATTTTAGCAATGTGGTCGTTGGTAATCGTGACAAGTTGTTTCAGTGCTGTAGTGGGTTCAGAAGCCTGGTTGAAGTGTGTTAGAGATACGGAGAAGCAGCAGAGACGGTGAGTATAGACAATGTTAGGCCAGTCTTCATTTAGAGACATAGCAGATCTGTACAAAATACCTTAACCTAATGGTACAGGTTAATGTATCAGAGCTTTAATGTTAAAAAATTTGTTATGTAACATCTCCGTATGCATGTGTTTGTTATTTCAATTTTCCAAATGAAATTCTGAGATGAAGTTCAGCCAGTTGCAAAATCGGCTTAAGAAAGGTATGTTTATTTAAAAAGTTTTTTTTAAAAGATTTTGTCAGAGAGAGAGCTCCCGCGAGAGAGCACGCGTGCATGAGTGCACAAGCCAGGGGCATGGCAGGCAGAGGGAGAGAAGCAGGCTCCCTGCTAAGCAAGGAGCCTGATGTGGGGCTCGATCCCAGGATCCCGGGATCATGACCTGAGCTGAAGGCAGATGCTTAACCAACTGAGCCACCCAGGTGTGAAAAATTTTTTTCTTTTAAAGATTGGCTTATTTTAGAGCGAGCAAGTGCAAGTTGCGGGGGGGGAGGGGCAGAGGGAGGGAGAGAGAGTTCTAAGCAGACTCTGTGCTCAGCTCAGAGCCCAACCTGGGGCTCGATCCCATGAAATCACGACCTGAGCTGAAGAGTTGGACACTCAACCGACTGCACCACCCAGGCACCCCAGGAAGGCTATGTTTAGATTTTAGAAGGAGTCTTCCTGATGCTCTTTAAATAGCCTTAGAACATTCCTTTCTTTAATCAAACACTCTACTTTGAGATCATTTGAATGAAAGTGATGTTTCCATAAGACATTTTCAGCAATGTTGGTGGCCAAAGGATGCTAGCTTGGTAGACCTTTCTGTATCCTCCTGCAGGGAAAACACACAAAAATTTTAAGGCTCTCTTCAAACTTCAGTTTACTTTGTTTTATTTAGCCTATTAAGTAAAATACTCTGCTTTACTGTCTCATTTTTAAAATTACATTTTACAAGGTATATTTAAATACCTTGAACTTTAGAGCAGCCAACTCTTTTCACTGTAGATACTTATTTAAAGCAAAAGCTTAAGTTTCTCTTCAGTGAAGGAATGATAATCTTTCACAAGAGAAATAGATTCCTGATTGACAAAACACACATTTTTTCTACTCCTAAGGAAGTAGAGGGAATATTAAAATGTTTTATTGAATCTAAGATGCCATTATTTGTAAAATGCACCATTATATGTATTACTAAGAAAGAAAAAAAAATGCTGCCATTTAGCATTAAGATGCAATAGATTGTAAGAGATGTGGGAATGTCGGGGACAAAAGTTCATCTTAGAATCAATGAAGCACAGAATTTGAGCTCCAGGAAGGTGAATTCAGGTTCTGGCTGTGTTTCTAACTAGCTGTGGGACCACCACCAAGTCACATAGAATCTCTTTGCCTCAGGTTCCTCACCTGTATGGTGAGAATAATAATAACTGATCCACCTGTCCTCATAGGATTATAATGAGGTTGAAATGAGATGAATGAGGGTTATTTTTTTTTTTAAAGATTTTATTTATTTGAGAGAGAAAGAATGAGAGACAGCATGAGAGGGAGGAGGATCAGAGGGAGAAGCAGACTCCCCGCTGAGCAGGGAGCCTGATGCGGGACTCGATCCTGGGACTTCAGGATCATGACCTGAGCTGAAGGCAGTCGCTTAACCAACTGAGCCACCCAGGCGCCCCGAATGAGAGTTATTTTGAGAAGTGGAATCTACTGGGCAAATTCAGGGTATTTATTTGATTGAAATTAACCGTTAGATCTGATCAGGTGACTCAAAGTTTCTGAGCCTTGTTGTCAGGTTTAAAATAGAATTCAATTATAGACATTTGAAAGTATAACATTTTCTTCTAAACCATTTTCAGTCAATCTGGAAATACTTTTTTATTGTAGTTTCAGAATCAAAGAGAAAACTCAAAACTCAAAGCTAATATAACCCAATATTCTCATCATTCAGAATTAACAACTGTTAATATTCTGTAACTGCTGTGATCTTTTTCAGCCTTATTTTGATATATTTATGACATAAAGAGGTAAAAGGATATAATAATGAACATTCATATGCTTGCCATTGCCAGTACAGGTGAAGCCCCCTATGTGGAAATGGTATCTTATACTTAGATTAGCATCCTGTCTTCATAATAGCCTAGTGATTTAGGATACTGTTTCTCTTGTTTCAGTCTTTAAAACTTGTAAATAAGCAAGTTAACTGCATCATGTGTGTTTTATCCTGGAATATGTGGGAGAAGCTACTTTGTGCTAGTGTTTCCTTGGTGTGAGTTTCCTCAAAATTCTTCCTGTGGCTTTGGAGATACAGCTGTATAAATTCAAAATATGACGCCTGTGAAATCATAATCACAGCTAGCCTATTATTTGTCAGGCATTGTACCTAGACAGTTTTTGTGTGTTTTCTTTAAGTTTCACAATACTGGTTAGGTGTTTTCATTTTTTTTCTTGAAGATTTTTATTTGAGAGAAGAGAGAGGGAGCACAAGTGGCCGGGGCGGGGGTGGGGGAGCAGTGTATCAGCAGAGGGAGAAGGAGAAGCAGACTCCCACTGAGCAGGGAGCCCAACGAGGAGCTTGATCCCAGGACCCTGAGATCATGACCTGAGCTGAAGACAGGTGCTTAACTGACTGAGCCACCCAGGCACTCCAGGTGTTTTCATTTTATAGATTAGGAAGGCATGGCTCAGAGAAGTTGAGTAACTTGGCCAAAGTTCCACAGCTATTAAGTTGTGGAGCTAACGATTTTAAGTAGGGTCTGCCTCATACCACAGCCCACATGTTCTATACCATGCTGCCTCAATCCTTGTCAGTAATCACAATCTGTTTCTTTTGTAGGCAGAACCCAGAGACCACGTTTGAAGTCTATGTTGAAGTGGCCTATCCTAGGACAGGTGGCACTCTTTCAGGTATTTGCATGTTTGATTATGATACGTGTTTATTGTATGAGATAGCTGTGCAGGACGTCGCTTCTCAGCCTTTTGGCTAAGATCAGGTGGAGATAGCTGTGCATGTGGGATATGTGAATATTCTAAACTGTGATTTATCTTTAAATATATTTGTCTTTCCCTTTTATTCCACATCATCCTAAGGAATGGAGAATAAGCACAGTGAACAATTTAAGAGTCACTGCCATGACAGGCTTGAAGTATGGCTTTATGCGTTGTAATCATTGAGTTTTGGTTTGTATCTTTCACAGATGCCTGGAAGTCAGCTGCTTAGTATGAAATATTGTCACCTTGCTAATGAGGAAGGCTTAGAATTAGGTTACAAAATAATATAAAGGGAAATCTCTGCCGCTAAACTGGAAGGAGATGTTTGAAATGGATTTAATGTAGTAAATTTTATGTCTGCTGGTAAAAGTTGGAAATGAGTTGAAGAAAACACCTCTCCTGGCTTTAGATTTTGGACTAATTTGGATGTGTATTCCTGGACAAGAGGGTCTCAGATAAGGTTAGAGTATCTTGCAAAGACTGAGTATATTCTCAACTAAAATCCTTCTTGGTTAATGAGAAAAAAAACCCCCTATAACCTAGTGTTCTTTTTCTTGGTAACTAAGAGAGTGATGCATTTGCCAGAGGTATGTCAGGGAGCAACTCTTGGTCCACACACACAAACAGTTGTGTGTATTACTTGGTGTTCAGGGAGAGTGAATTTACTTGGATTAGAAACTTGGAGTAATCAGGATTCCAGTGGTATATGCTCTTAATTGGCTATGCAGTATTTTCTATTTCATTATGTTAGACTGTAATACTCATAAAATAGCTACCTTTTATTGAGTATCTGTTCCTTTGTCCTATGTGCCTGACATTTTATCCTTACAATACAACCCTTTAAAGATAGTTGGGTGGCAGCTCCATTATACCTACGAGAAAATAGAATCTCTGGTCAAATAATTTACCAGGATCATCATGTGTAGAATAACCAGGATTTTTGGTTTCAAGTCTTCTTTACTCTGCTAAGTTGCCTTCTTGAGGGCCATGACCATGTTGGGCACATCTCTCCATGTCATCTGCAGGGCTTTGCATAATGTCACTAGTATTTGTTAAAATGAATGAATTTCTCTTAATAGCAAAAGTGATATAACTGTGTGTTCCACTTTCTGGATTATCTAATGAAGGTTACAAATTTGTGGTCATTCTAGAAGTAGAATGTTAGCATCCATGTTAAGTTACCCCTCTTATTCTGCAAACCATTGCTTTGGGAAGCATCTGTTACTAGGTGCATACCGGCAGCAGCACCTCTGTGGGTCTACTTTACAGAGTAACCATTTGATGATGGCTATGATTTGACAGATAAATTTAGGGACAGAATTTTTCTTATTTTACAGTTGCTAATGTTTCCTCTTTCAGTGTTCTAGGATTTTTTTCCTCCCAAAGTTAAAATGAATTTTTTTGGGAAAAAGAACAAAATTAGAGAAGTACAAATAAGACGGAAGAATGAACAAAATGCAAAGTCTTTATCTTACCCCAGTCATCTAATTCCTCTGTGCCATAGACAACTTCTTCCATGGTTTAACCCTTTAGTATATTTTAAAAACTTTTAATTTTGAAAATATTTTTATTTTATTTTTTTTAAAGATTTTATTTTGAGAGAGAGAGAATGAGAGAGAGAGAAAGCACATGAGAGGGGAGGGTCAGAGGGAGAGGCAGACTCCCTACCGAGCAGGGAGCCCAATGCGGGACTTGATCCAGGGGCTCCAGGATCATGACCTGAGCCGAAGGCAGTCGCTTAACCAACTGAGCCACCCAGGCGCCCTTTATTTTATTTTTTTAAAGATTTTATTTATTTATTTGACAGAGCTAGAGCACAAGTAGGCAGAACATCAGGCAGAGAGAGAGGGAGAAGCAGGCTCCTCGCCGAGCAGAGAACCCGATGCCAGGCTCGATCCCAGGACCCCGGGATCATGACCTGAGCTGAACGCAGATGCTTAACTGACTGAGCCACCCAGGTGCCCCTTGAAAATATTTTTAAAAGATGAAAGTTATAAGAATGGTCAAGTGCATATGCCCTTTCCTCAGCTTTGTCAGTTGTTACCCAATTTTGCCATATCTGCTTTATCACTCTATATGTATATACATATTATTTTTGCTGAACCGTCTGAGAATAAATTGCAGATATAGCGACCCTTTATCCCTACATACTTAAGAATATATCTCCTAAGAATTTTCTTACATAACTCTAGTACAATTATTGAAATACAAGAATTTAATGTTGATATAATGTCAGTTGTCCATGTTTAAATTTAATCAGTTGTGCCGATAGTATCCTTTATAGCATTTTCCTTTCTGATCCAGAATCCAATTATTCAGGATCATGCAGTCCATTCAGCTTCACATGTATTTAGTTTCTTTCAGTAAGTAATAGTTTTGCAGCCTTTCCTTACCTTTTATCACAGACACGTTTTGAAGAATTTAGGTCTGTTGTTTTGCAAAAGGTCTCTAGATTTGGATCTGATCATATCCTCATGATTAGATTCGGGTTATGAAATTTTGGCAGGGGTCTCTGTTACTGTGTATCATATCAGCAGGCACATGATGTCTGTCCCTTATTTGTGGAAAAAAAGTACATGGAAGTTACATGTACAGTTTAGCAAATAATGATCATGTGCCCATGTTACTGCTTTCCAGGCTAAGAAATATAATGTTTCCTGGGTCTAAGGAAATACTGTTATTGCAGGAGGGCTCCCTGCCCTGGCCCTGTGCTTTAGTGGGCCCTACTTTGGTGCTCTTCCATGGGGCAGAGTCTGTGGGCCCTGTGGGACATGCCTGCTTAGAGCCTGAACCTTTCCATGGTAGACCATACTTTAAGTACCTAGGATCTCAGAATTTCTTGCCCAAATGGCCCTGAGCTTGTTTCCAGAGCCTGTGTGAGTCCCTTTCCTGGGGTCCATACTTCTGAGGGTGGGCTGGGCTGCTGGTGTATACAAGGGATGGCCTAAAAGTGGCTGTGTGTGGAGAGTAGGGTATGGGATGGAACTTGGACTTGTGAGTGGAGGTGACTGCATGCTTGTGTGTGAGGTCCTTGGCTGTGTGGGATGGAGAAGAGGGTGATGGGTGGTGGACCAGTGGCCAGTTCTCCCTGGATTAGCATGTTTCTGCATGGAACTCTGGGGAATCCCAAAATTCTCTGTATGAATCTGGCTTTCCAGGCAGTTATAAAGGTATATTTGTCATGATAGGAGGATAGAACATATTTTATTTAATATTTTGTAAGCTTGTTTTCTTATCTGTTAAATATTAACACATATGGTATGAGGGCCTCTATTTGTACTCTTCCTGAGGCCCTGTAAGTGTTGGAGGTGGGTTTGGTTGGTACCCCAGAGGTTCCTCCTTTCCTTTCTCCAGAGGTAACTACTGTCCTGACTTTTATGATAATCATTTGTTTTTCTTTATAGTTTTATGACCTAAGTATATCTCCTTGAAAAAAATAATTTATTGCTTGCTTCTGAGTTTTATAGAAACAGAATTATTATTTGTGTAGTTTTGCTTTTTTTGCTCAAAGTTATGTTTGTAAGGGTTCTTCATGTTGTGTGTAGCTATAGTCATTCATTTTCATTGCTGTGTAATACACTGTAGGATTATATCACAATTTATCCATTCTGTTGAAAACACTTGAAGTTGTGTGCAGTTTTGGGCTATTACAAGCAATGCTGCCGTAATCATTCCTTATACGCGAATCCTGGTGCGCTTAAATGTACATTTCCTTAGGATAGATACCATACTTGATTACTGGATCATTGCTAACTTGTTTTTCAAAATTATGCTAGTCCACACTCCCTCCAGCAGTGTTTGATAGTCCTTATTACTCTACAACTTCATCAGTCCTTGGTACAGTTAGATGTGTTGATTTTTGGCAACCTGATGGTTATATAGCAGTATCTCCTTGTTGTTTTTATTTGCATTTTTCTGATGACTAATGAGACCAAGCACCTTCTGCTTATTGGCCTCTTTGAATAGCTTGTTTTTTAAAGTGCCTGTTCAAGTCTCTTTCTAATTTTTCTTACTGAGTTTTCTGCCTTTTCCTTATTGATTTTTAAGATTATATAATGGATATTAATTATCTCGTTGTATGTATTACAAATTTCTTCTTCCATTCTATGGTTTGTCTTTCACTCTCTTTGCGTTAACTTTGATCATAACTTCTTGATTTTAATATAGTACAATTGACCAGTATTTTCCTACTCCACAGTTATGAAGATTTTTTCCTCTAAGAAATTTATGGTTTTGCCTTTTGCGTTTAGGTCTTTAATCTATTAAGGATTTTAGTTTTCTCTCAGATGATGAGCTAATTTAAAAATTGGGAAACTAATTAGGGGCGCCTGACTGGCTCACTTGGTAGAGCATGCAACTCTTGATCTCAGGGTTGTAAGTTCAAACCCTACATTGGGTGTGGAGCCTACTTGAAAACAAAACCAAAACCAAAAAAAAATTGGGAAACTAAACCCGCAGTACTGGGGTCTACTACTCCTTTACTTAAAACATTTTAATAAAATGATCAGGTACTTCTAGGGGCACCTGGCTGGGTCAGTTGGTAGAGTGTGTGACTCTTTATCTTGGGGTTGTAAGTTCGAGCCCCATGTGGGTGTGAAGGTTACTTAAAAAATAAGGTCTTAAAAAAATAATCAGGTACTTCTAAATCATAAAAAAAAAAAAAATAACCTCACATTAAAAAAAAAAAAAGATCTGAGAAAGGCCAGTAAGAAATATTACTAGACTTTCGGGGCACCTGGGGTGGCTCAGTTGGTTAAGCGTCTACCTTCAGCTCGGGTCCTGATCTCAGGGTCCTGGGGTCGAGCCCCCCGCATCTGGCTCCCTGCTCAGCGGGGAGCCTGCTTCTCCCTCTCCCTCTGCTCCTACCGCTGCTTTTGGTCTCTTGTTCTCCCTCAAATAAATAAATAGAATCTTAA